TTTAAAATTTTAGGAATTTTTTTCTCACCTATAAATACGGACCCAATAATTTTTCCCTGAGTTGGGAGGACCACCTAACGTCATTTTAAAGATGGTATAAAATATTTATTAATGTTGATTTTTTTCTTTAATATGTAAAATTGTAATTTTGACAAAAAGGCAAATAGAAAAAGTTTTTTTATTCATTAAATCTCCCAACTCACTCTGAATGATTTCATTCCTTTTCAAATGTTGCTCCGCTAAAATCAAAATTGTAAACGTTTATTTGACAGAGTATATGAGGGTAGATCAAAAAGTAAACGATATATCTTAGGTATTTGATAGTTATATTATTGTTGAAATATTCAAGTATTTTTCAAAGTGTAAATTGTAGGTCTTTGATAGCATATTGCTTAATTAAAAACACATCCCTTTTCAAACTTGCTAATATATCACAGGGCAATATAACAAGTATCATATTTAACCATCTGCCTTCCTTCACTAAAACGATCTATCCAATCATTGATTGAATTTGTAGGAAGTCATCTGTCTTAATAATCTATGAACAAATTCTTATATGCTACTTCAAAGGCATTTTTAAGATATACCATAAATATTTTAGTCGTTTGTTAAACGAGTTCCACTGAGGCAACCATTTTTCGTCACAAGTACCTGCATAATGACGTCATTATGAGCAAAACTTTATTCAGCATATGCTATTTTATAGAACTTGTGTTTGGCTATGTGTGCACCAAATTTGTTTCTAATCTGAATTGTGGTTTTGTAGATATAGAGATAGTTCGCGAACTTTTTGATCACCCCTCGTACTGGTAGGTACTAAATCAAGGTCATTCATATCGATTTTATGTGTTTAATTTCTTTGTGTTTCATTGGTGATAATTAAAATTTTGATATATATTATAAGTTATCTGTGGCAAACTTACAAACTCTTAATTCTTAACTTTAATGGTGCTCATTTTTCCTTACCCGGAATTAAAGAGTTTAAGATTTTTTTCTTTGATATCAATAAGTACATTATTTAACAACTGTTCGATCGATAATAATACTAAATAAATTACTTCAAGCCATACTATAACACATTTCCTCTTTTAAAAGTGTTCATACTATTTGAAATATTTTGCAACTGTAATTCTCTTCTACATTTAAAGATTGTTATGTCCCTCCATATTAAGAAGAGGTCTGGAAAACAAAATTCTGTGCTAAAAATAGACCACGTGCTGGTATCCATGAACTACTTTCATGGTTCTTTACACTCTTTTTGAAGACAATGATACCTTGTTTTGAACTTGAAATTATCATTTAAAAGTGCAAAATTTAGACATTTTCTCAACAAATGGTTGTAGAGAGAACATTGATGCACAATTTGCATTTTTTTTTGGATTTTTTAAGGCTCTGCTGAATTCTGTAGCTGCGCAGTTCTAAGGAGCATATCAAAAGCATTTCTCTGCAAAAGTATAGATTATATATGCACAACATGCATTCAGTTATGAATATTTATTGTATCTTTATCATAAGGACTTAAAATTTGATCAAAATATGATGTATTTAAGCCATTTGAAGAAATGTTTACATTTTGTTCTCACAGCACTAAAGGTGGCCGTACATCCCCCTTAACCAGGCAGATGATTGGAAACTGACTGTAGATCTAGGTCAGAAACTGACATTCCCAGAGATAATCCCAACTAATCTCAAGCCTGATACGGTAATGTGATCAGCAAGTAGCTGCAGAACAGTAGTATTTAATTAACCTTTCAGCGGTTTATGGTTTGGGCATCAAAAACGGGAATCTTTTAAACTGACATTCCAAATTAAACTATTAAGCACTGCTTCAGACCGTTAAAAGGTAAATGAAGTATCAAAAATAGGAGTAAAATTTATGCTTGATTATCAGATACAATTCCAAAAGCCAGAGAAAGCATAAACTACAAGAAATAATGCCCTAAGTGAGCAACAAAGAAGCAGTGGCGTAAATCAAAGGATTTTACAACGCATGGATCTGTAGCTCTGTGCTTCATCTGTCCGAATTTTCTCAAGCTGAGGGGTACAGTTCTGCACCTAGTCAGCAAGTACTACGATCATTGTCATAGAGCTGAAAGTTCCCTGGGAAGAAAGATGTGATGAAGCCCATGAAAGGAAAAAGGCAAAATATGACTCACTGCTGGCAGAATGTAGGGATAAAGCATAGCAGACCTGGAACTATCCAGTAGAAGTTGGTTGTAGAGGCTTCCTGACACAGTCAATTTGGAGGATGTTCTCTAGGCTATGGGTGACAGGGAGAAGCAGAACAGCAGTCCAAAAATGACCCCAGCAGCAGAAAGATCATCATGCTGGGTTTGGATAAAGAGAGAAACTAGTAGCTGGATACCCACCACCAACACGCAGTGACTGATCACCACTGTGGACCCCCCAACCCCTCCTGAGAGTGTACCAAACTAGGGATCAAAACACACAATATGGGATGGCCTCAACTGGAAACGTTGATGGTGCAGCAGCAATATCAAAACAGCTGTATATAAGTAAATTACTAGAAACTATCTCTTAATGATGAAGTGACACTAATATGGTTTTATAGGTGACATTTAACTTTCTGTATCAGAAAATTTTGTTATTTCATACCTTTGAACATGCAAACAATCTGAGATAAAAGTTGCTTTTCCAATTCTTTTGCTACTTTTAGGGCGAGGGTGTAATAAATTTTTAGTTCTTATGCTCAAACCTTTGGTAATTATAAATTAAAAATAATAATTTCACATTATTTTGTTTTGCTATCTGTTACAAGGATTCCCCCAAAAATCTTGGAAAGATTATACATACTATGTACATGTATATTTCTTATATTTTCATTAAAGAAGATTTATACAAACAAATAAATTTTAACTGTATTTTTATTGTACCATCTACATGCTGTGTTTGTGAAAATGTATCCTGTATTTGAAACAAAATCAAAATAATTCAAAACAAAAGAAATCAACAAGCAATGAACAGACAAATAATCAAGAACAAATATAAAAATCTACAAGACATAAACACAAATAGCACATCATCAAAATAATCTGACAAAAGATATTACTTATTTTCTCTAATTAGCACATTTTTATTTATAAACATACTGTATCTTAGCACAATGACCCAATATGATATGTTTGTAAATCACGTTACAGGCAGACTGAACTAGTCTGTTAGTGCAGAGTAAATAACTGTTTTGATTAATTCTCTCATTTTTTATGCAAAAGACAGCTTCCAAAGATTGATATATTCCATGAGAATTGCTATAGAATCGTGAAAATTACAAAGTTTTAATACAATTTGAAGAGCCAAAATAAAAATTAAAAATAAATTATAGTTTATCTTTGACAAATCTAAAAAAAACATTTTCATTTTGAAAATAAACTAGAAATATGTCCATAGGACATGAATGCCCCGCCGAGGATATATTAGTAAAGCAACATGAAAATTTGTATGTGTATAAAATTTAATCAGTTTGGTTCAGGTAGGGCTTATAGTTACTAGGGAATAAAAATGTAGGTCAGATCCAGCATCTGAAGCAAGTCTGGTAGTGTCCATCCCTAGATGCATCATCCATGAAAGTTTGGTTCAGGCAGGGCTTACAGTTACTAGGGAATAAAAATGTAGGTCAGATCCAGCATCTGAAGCAAGTCTGGTAATGTCCATCCCTAGATGCATCATCCATGCAAGTTTGGTTCAGGTACGGCTTATAATTACTTGGGAATGAAAATGTAGGTCAGATCCAGCATCCGAAGCAAGGTGTCCATCCCTAGATGCATCATCCATGCAAGTTTGGTTCAGGCAGGGCTTATAGTTCCTAAGGAATGGACCTGCTCCAAAAACTTTATCCTGGTCACTCATCTGGAAAATGTAAGTCAGATCCAGCATCCTAAGCAAGTCTGGTAGTGTTCATCCCTAGATGCATCATCCCTGCAAGTTTGGTTTGGGTAGGGCTTATAGTTCCTTGGAAATGGACCTGCTCCAAAAACTTTAACCTGGTCACTCATCTGGAAAATGTAGGTCAGATCCAGCATCCGAAGCAAGTCTGGTAGTGTTCATCCATAGATGCATCATCTGTGCAAGCTTGTATCAACATGTGAAGTTTGATAACACCATCTTGAATGGTATATTTAAAACTGAGCTAAACACGAATTTAAGAAAAGTGAGGTCAAGGTCAAAGGAAAGGTCAAGGTCAAAAAATGTTGATGCAGTTGCATAGCTCTCATCAATATCTATCAGCATATGAAGTTTGATGAAAATATCTTGGATAGTTTCTTTGAAACTTAGCTTTGAACAGAGCTAAACGCAAAGTGTGACAGAAGGACAGAAGGACGGAAGACAGACATGACAAACACTATATGCCCCGGCCATATTCATGGCGGGGCATAAAAATTACATATGATTTAAATAATTATAACAGTTATGAAATAAATGGTGACAATTATTACATTTTTACAGAGTTATTGTAAAAGAAACTACTACAAATAAATAGCTACACTTAAATACAACAAAACATAACCAATAAACAACTCTTAAAAAAAATGTGCAAATTTTATAACCTGTTGGAAAATGTAGTATCAAATCGTTGAATCATGAAATCTTCTCGAATACACTGAATTACATTCAGTCTTAATAAATCAATGGAGTAAGAAATATGTCATAACAGATTATCAGTGCTTGCTTCCAGTAATAAACAACAAGGCATATTATGAAAGCAGCTTTTGCACATGTACATGTTCATTTATACAAGAATTGACAAATTTACTTCAATCCTAGCAATACCCTTACAATATCATTTTTACTGTTCTATCAATCTGTCAACAAAGGCAAGAAAAAAAACAGGAATGAAAGCTGCCATATCATAACTATTACATCTGACTATCAAATGCAAGAAAATTTAAAGTAACTACACAAGTGCTTGCTTGCATTCACAAGCATAGTCTTTGAAGCATAGGATTACTTATGGATTTTTAAACAATATTTCCAATGCTACAACTGATACCATATGTTCTGTATGTTAATTTTCAGGAAGACAAACAATTTAATTTTCTCAGAACAGTGGAAAATCCTTATCTTAAACACAAATCCCTCTTGCTGATTCATAAAAACTGCACGGTATGTTAAGAGCTTGTTTCATTTCACAATGCTGTGTTTTTACGTCAGCTATATAAAAGAAGCACTTTTAACTATGCTCCTGGCATAATCAATCATGAGGATTTGATCATCAGTTCTTCCACAAGCAATCTTCACATAATCTTTATTCATCTGTAAAAATAAAAAGCAGAGAGTCAGAATAATTGTAACCCTAAAGATTAAAATGCCACGCCTATCACTTCTTTGCAAAATTTGGTTTTTCTGAGGCAGTAGTATAATGAGATGAAAATGTGATTTTTTGCATGCACTTCTTGAAGCAATGTTTTTCATTCTGTTATTGTGGTATTCATTATACTTGTATTATACTGCTTCAAGTTCTGTCCTTAAAAAAACAAGAGGCCAATGGGCCACATCACTCACCTGAGCACCAAGGGTAGGACTAGTATAAAATGGCTTTTTATTGTAAAGTTTAAATCCAAAAGTAGTCCCATGACCAATCATGGATTTGCTATTTTTTAGAAAATGATTGAGAAGAAGATTTTTAAAGAATTTTCCTATATATTTCTATGTAAAACTTTGGTCAGCCATTTTGGCCCCGCCCTACCCCCCCCCCCCCCCCCCCCCCCCCCCCCCCCGGTCATGATTTGAACAAACTTGAATCTACACCACCTGAACATGCTTCCATATAAATATGATGAATAATGGCTTTGTCATTCTTGAGAAGAAGATTTTTAAAGAATTTTCCTATATATCTCTATGTAAAACCTTGGTCGGCCATTTTGGCCCCGCCCTACCCCCGGGGGTCATGATTTGAACAAACTTGAATCTACACTACCTGAGCATGCTTCCATATAAATATGTTGAATTATGGCTTTGTTATTCTTGAAAAGAAGATTTTTAAAGAATTTTCCTATATATTTCTATGTAAAACTTTGGTCGGCCATTTTGGCCCCGCCCTACCCCCGGGGTCATGATTTGAACAAACTTGAATCTACACTACTTGAGCATGTTTCCATATAAATATGATGAATTATGGCTTTGTCATTCTTGAGAAGAAGATTTTTTAAGAATTTTCCTGTATATTTCTATGTAAAACTTTGGTCGTCCATTTCGGCCCCGCCCTATCCCCGGGGGCCATGATTTGAACAAACTTGAATCTACACTACCTGAGCATGCTTCCATATATATATGATGAATTATGGCTTTGTCATTCTTGAGAAGAAGATTTTTAAAGAATTTTCCTATATATTTCTATGTAAAACTTTGGTCGTCCATTTCAGCCCTGCCCTATCCCCGGGGGTCATGATTTGAACAAACTTGAATCTACACTACCTGAGCATGCTTCCATATAAATATGATGAATTATGGCTTTGTCATTCTTGAGAAGAAGATTTTTAAAGAATTTTCCTATATATTTCTATGTAAAACTTTGGTCGGCCATTTTGGCCCCGCCCTACCCCCAGGGGTCATGATTTGAACAAACTTGAATCTACACTACCTGAGCATGTTTCCATATAAATATGATGAATTATGGCTTTGTCATTCTTGAGAAGAAGATTTTTAAAGAATTTTCCTATATATTTCTATGTAAAACTTTGGTCGGCCATTTTGGCCCCGCCCTTACCCGGGGGGTCATGATTTGAACAAACTTGAATCTACACTACATGAGCATGCTCCCATATAAATATGATGAATCATGGCTTTGTCATTCTTGAGAAGAAGATTTTTAAAGAATTTTCCTATATATTTCTATGTAAAACTTTGGTCGGCCATTTTGGTCCCGCCCTACCCCCAGGGGTCATGATTTGAACAAACTTGAATCTACACTACCTGAGGATGTTTCCCCATAAGTTTCATCTTTCCTGGCACGGTGGTTCTTGAGAAGATTTTTAAAATATACCACTAAATTTTCATTAATTCCCAATTATCTCCCCTTGAATAAGGGCGTGGCCCTTCATTTGAACAAACTTGAATCCCCTTCACCCAAGGATACTTTGTGGCAAGTTTGGTTGAAATTGGCCCAGCGGTTCTTGAGAAGAAGTCGAAAATGTGAAAAGTTTACAGACAGACAGACGGACAGATGGACAGCTCGACAGACGGACGCCGGACAAAATGTGATCAGAAAAGCTCACTTGAGCCTTCGGCTCAGGTGAGCTAAAAAACTAAGTGCCCCATGCAATATTTTGTATGAACACATACATTTAAATTTGAAATTAATACATTAACCACATTAAAATAATAAGAGTTTGAAATTTGTATTTTTGTATTCATTCACTAGAGGGTGTTTTAATTAGTGTTGAATAATCGGGAAAATTTCATAATCGATAATCGGTCAAAATCGGAGAAGCTTAATCGATCAATGATCGACTTAATTGGTAATTAAAATTTCAAATACAAAATTCCATTTCTTTATAGCATTTATCATTTATGTAACAAACTAAAAATAAAATTTTATTAAGTTTATTCTAAGGACAACTTTTTGTATTATAAGTAATAAAGAAACAGAAACAAGAGGCCCAGGGGCCACAGCGCTCACCTGAGCACATCAGGCTTGAATTTACTCCCCCCCCCCCCTCCTCCAGGCGTTCATCATTTGAACAAACTAGAATCTACATTACCTGAGGATGATTCCATATAAATATCACAAATCATAGCTTTGAAGTACTTGAAAAGAAGATTTTAAAAGGTTTCCCTGTATATCCCTATGTAAAACTTGGGTCAGCCATTTTGGCCCCACCCTAGCCCCGGGGGTCATGATTTGAACAAATTTGAATCTACACTACCTGAGGATGATTCCACATGAGTTTCATCTTTCCTGGCCCAGTGGTTCTTGAGAAGAAGATTTTTAAAGATTTTTCTTATATATTCCTATGTAAAACTAGGGTCGGCCATTTTGGCCCCACCCTTGCCCCGGGGGTCATGATTTGAACAAACTTGAATCTGCACTACCTGAGGATGATTCCACATGAGTTTCATCTTTCCTGGCCCAGTGGTTCTTGAGAAGAAGATTTTTAAAGAATTTTCTTATATATTCCTATGTAAAACTAGGGTCGGCCATTTTGGCCCCACCCTTGCCCCGGGGGTCATCATTTGAACAAACTTGAATCTACACTACCTGAGGATGATTCCACATGAGTTTCATCTTTCCTGGTCCAGTGGTTCTGGAGAAGAAGATTTGTAAAGATTTTTCCTATATATTCCTATGTAAAACTTGGGTCGGCCATTTTGGCCCCACCTTTGCCCCGGGGGGTCATGATTTGAACAAACTTAAATCTGCACTACCTGAGGATGATTCCACATGAGTTTCATTTTTCCTGGCCCAGTGGTTCTGGAGAAAAAGATTTTTCCTATATATTCCTATGTAAAACTTGGGTCGGCCATTTTGGCCCCACCCTTGCCCCGGGGGTCATTATTTGAACAAACTTGAATCCACACTACCTGAGGATGATTCCACATGAGTTTCATCTTTCCTGGCCCAGTGGTACTGGAGAACAAGATTTTTAAAGATTTTTCCTATATATTCCTATGTAAAATTTGGGTCAGCCATTATGGCCCCACCCTTGCCCCGGGGGTCATGATTTGAACAAACTTGAATCTACACTACCTGAGGATGATTCCACATGAGTTTCATCTTTCCTGGCCCAGCGGTTCTGGAGAAGAAGATTTTTTAAAAATGCCATAAATTTTTCACAAATTCATAATTATCTCCCCTTGGAAGGAGGCGTGGCCCTTCATTTGAACAAACTTGATTCCCCTTCACCCAAGGATACTTTGTGCCAAGTTTGGTTGAAATTGGCCCAGTGGTTCTTGAGAAGAAGATGAAAATGTGAAAAGTTTACGACAACGATGTCAACGACGACAACAACAACGACAACGACGACAGACAACGGACAAATTTTGATCAGAAAAGCTCACTTGAGCCTTCGGCTCAGGTGAGCTAAAAAAATACATATTTGCTCATAAAAACTAAAAATGTTTGTCATGACATCAGATTTTGCATTCCCTAGTTATAATAACCTAACTGTGTCTTGGTAAAAGCCCTCACCACAGTTAGAATACGTCCCATATAGGCCTACTTGCAATGTAGCAAATCGGAGTGGATCCGCTCCAAAATGATTTTGAAGAATATAAAAGGATTTGCACTGGAAATAACTTCCAAATTAATTGCTTATGACTTTTATCCAAAAAAATAATCCATATAAAGACGACAATCCAATTAATGTTCTCCACGTTTTCTCTTGCTTCAAATTTACCTGCCATGTTTACATTTGGAACTCTCTAGATTGTCCGAGTACGAGTTATTGCCCGTGTTTGTTTCGCTACATTACGAATACAGGGAACAAACTCAATCGTTAAACCCGGTCCGTAGGACAACATCATTTTAACGATGGAACGGTCTATCTATGGGTAAATTTCTACTTGATTGTTGTTAACTTCGTCTTCGGACGCCATTTTTGTTGACCTCCTTTCGTTTTACATGTATTGTTAATGCGTACGTATTTGTTTCATTCAAATTGTACGAGTTTATTTGGGCAAGTTTATGTGGGCGACAATCGATTATGAAAAACGCAATTGATAATCGGAATCGAACACCCAAAAACGATCGACAATCGATCGTCAGCGACAATCGTTTCATCACTAGTTTTAATGATCCCTCTATCATAATATACCGATATAGTGAGACTATATCATCATATATACACTGGCATATCATCTTAGTAATACATAATCCTTTAGTATTATTTGCGTCCTGACACCTACCTTTGAATTGCTGAGTGACTCTGTTTCCGCAAACTGGATTTTCCTACTGGATTTCCTTACCACAGAACTCTGAAATAATCAGTTTATTAACTTCACATGACAAACTGGAGATCTCATAACATGACTAATACATGTATATCCTATGGGGGGAACATTCTAAACATGACATGAAAATAAATTCCAGACATTTTTTTCCTTGTTTTCCACACAAGACAAATTTCTATGCCATATATTTTTTTTTTACTTTTTTCACTATAGAAAACTTGTGTTTCTTTGAATTTAAAAGTAAGATAGTGGAAAACAAATGAAGATACTTTTTATGGTTCAACTTTAAAGGCATGTGCCTAATGGACACAGACTGGGAGGCCAATTCAGTTTATGGTTTGATTAAATATATTTTATCAAAAACATTTACAAATTCCACATTTTTTTTAAATCTACTGTACTTTATAAGTATGATTTATATCAAAAGCAAAACTTATGAAGATGCAACTGAAAATAATCCAGTACATGAAAAAATTTGCCATAAATGTGGTTAATTGGCTCTCAAAGGCAGTTATTTTATTTTCTTTAGAGCCATTTCCCAAATCTGAAATACTTTTTATTTGTACATTTTTTGTAAAATTTACAGGCATGAATTTCATACTGGGAGTAGAGTACTAATGCACTGATCAACCTCCCAGATACTGTACCTTATTGGTGGCCTCCTTTTTTGGAGGTTTTGTTTCCTCCAGGATTTCCTCTGGTAGAGTTTCCTTGATGATGGAAGGAGGAGAGAACAGCACACTGGCATCATTCAGCAGCGATTTACTCTGAAAAGTTTGAAAATGTAATAAAACATAAAGTACAGGTGTAGAAAAGTGTAATCTTTAGATATCCATATTAACATTATTATGATTAAGAATAATATTGAATAATATTAATATTGGAATTTGCCTTACTGGTGTTTCAGGTGATAAAACCATTGGTTTTTCCTCTGGAAAGCCTATATTTCTCCTTGGTGACAGCCATCTTGTTGCCAGACATTTTCTCATCTTGCGCTTTGGCTGAGCCTACAGATCACATTACAGATTCAGTACAAATACATGCATTGGTGTCATAATAAAACTGTGAAATGTAAAACTACACAGTCATATTCAAGAATGTTAGAGCTATACCTAAGGAAGCAGGGCCTAAGTTTACTAATCACAGACACTAAAACAAATTTCCAAATCACAGAAAACAATACAAGAGGCCCAGGGGCCACAGCGCTCACCTGAGCACACCGGCTAGGAGAAAGCAAATATCAGATCAGAAATGAAAGTTTACTGAGATTGGAGGGGGGAGGGGGGGGGCTTAAATCTTAACCCCCTTAGGGGATCATGATTTGAACAAACTTGAATCTACACACCTGAGGATGATTTCATATAAATATCACAAATCATGGCTTTGAAGTACTTGAGAAGGAGATTTTAAAAGATTTCCCTATATATTCTTATGAAAAACTTTGATCGGCCATTTTGGCCCCACCCTAGCCCCGGGGGTCATGATTTGAACAAATTTGAATCTACATTACATGTGGATGATTCCACATGAGTTTCATCTATCTTGGCCCAGTGGTTCTTGAGAAGAAGATTTTTTTAAAATGCCATTAATTTTTTCACTAATTCATAATTATCTCCCCTTGGAAAAGGGCGTGGCCCTTCATTTGAACAAAATTGAATCCCCTTCACCCAAGGATACTTTGTGCCAAGTTTGGTTGAAATTGTCCCAGTGGTTCTTGAGAAGAAGATGAAAATGTGAAAAGTTTACGACGACAACAACGACAACGACAGACAACGGACAAATTTTGATCAGAAAAGCTCACTTGAGCCTTCGGCTCGGGTGAGCTAATAATTTGCAATTTTTAGGTAGTTAAAGCAAGTTCACAGCAGAAAATTTTCTATCATGTAGCAGATCATTATTTGCAGACATTTAATTTGAAATGTGGACTCAAACAAAGAATATAACATAAGTGGTTCCATCAACTTAAAAAAAAGTTTTCGTTTAATCTTCAACATATTTTGTACGAGGGTTGATCCAAAAGTAATGTCACAACTTTGATAAAATTGCTATAAATCGACGTAAAGCAACAAAATTATACATGATGAAAGCTTTATTTATTTAAAATCAGAAGTGAAAAATTCAAAGGAGTATGATGTATACTTCTCAAAAAATCGGATTTTAAACAATGCGCGTTTATGGTAGTCGCCGCACCTAAATATAACGTCATATGATGGATACATACCGTCATACTTTTAAGCGTTTCCCCTTCGTTTCATTAAAAAATATTTGTGATTCGCAAACACTTTCACCAAACTCTCTTTAAGAATTCTTAGTTCCATTATACACTCACTCTTTTCATAATTAAGCCCTTTGTCAAATTTTTTGAACAGTAGCATAAGACAAACTTAAAAATTCACATGTCACTCTATACGTCTGTCTTTTTTGACAGTGTCAGACACCATTGAACGTTTCCATCCAAACTCCTTTCTTTTGGTCTTCTTCCCTCTGCTTATCATTCAGTGACCAATCACCCGCCCAAAATTGCTGAAACCATCTATTATAATGTCTCTTATTTACATTCTTTATTCTGTAAGTCTGATTGATTAACGAAAATATCGCTAGTGATGATTTCCGTATTTTGAAGCAAAAATGCATTACAACTCGTCGAGCCTTTTTTTCTCCATTTCGACAATCCTTTTGTTCAATTCAACAGAGTAAAACAACAATGTTTATGATCACAAAATACCAATGCCGTCGTTTAATTTTCAATTAAAGACTAGAAAGTGACGAGAATTGTGTCTTTAAAAAATGGGAGATTAGGTGCTTATTCAGAATTTTTTTAATGTGTTTGGTTTTTTCATTCTAAGAAAAAATGCACTTTAAAACGTGACGTTCCGTTGTAACGCGGCGACAACCCCTATGCACTATGTTTTAAACATCTATAAAATAAATTCAAATAAACATTATTTAATTAAAATTTCAATTTTAATTAGATTTATATTTGTGCATCTTTTGGTATATTGTATTTGATAATATGACGCCAAACATAAAAGATATGGACACTGTAACATTACTTTTGGATCAACCCTCGTATATGTTTTTTTCAGTTTTGCATTTATATTTTTTAATATTTTCTAAAACTACGTTTGTTAGGCCATCTTTAAAAAATTGTTTGGTAGCTCTCTCCCAACTGACTGACTTAAAATGGCCTCACTAGAAACTTTTTTCTACATTCCAAAACATGAAATTCTTTTTTCTTTTTATTCCTCTCTCCCCGTCAACAATTAAAAAAGATTTTCAAACCTACCTACCTACCAACCCAGTAATTTTACCCCGAGTTGTGAGAGGGCAAGCAAACATTATTTTAAACATGGCCTTACATGTTGAAATACAGTCAATTCTCGAATTATCGCCATTCGATTCATCGCCATTTTCGCAATACCGCCATGATTTCCTCAGAACATTTTTCCTGCTATATAAAATTCTCTTTATAACGCCAAATTCGCATACCGCCATCCGCCACCCTGTTTTCATAACAAACGTCCATTTTTAAGTGTCAATTATCTCGATAATACCGCCACAGGTGCGTGTGGTCAGTGAAGCGCGGCTAATTGGTTGTGACGCTATTCCTGTTGTAAAGCATGTAAAGGCAGACAAGGTACATGCAATTAAGTAATTAAACAAGAATTAATAAACAATAATTTTAACATGAACTGTTATAATAATTTTGATTTCTGTTTATTAAAAATCATTTAGTCACGGCTTCGCCATGAAAGCGGTAGTTGTTAACAGTCTAGTCGAACCGTCAAACGGGAGTAAACGGATGTTGGAATCCGTACCTTCAAACGGGGGTATGGCGCATGCGCAGAAAATCAAAAAGTGCCGTTTTCACGGAAAAACGTGTGGTCCACAAAATATGCTCGTGCAAAGTGATGGATTATTTCGTAGCTATGTACTCAAATTTGATAGATTAAAGATGTTTAAAGAGATTGTATTGCGAAAAAGTATATGTTTATTGTAAAAATCGAGACTTTTTCTCCCCCAAAGTTAGCGTATTCTGTGCCTTGATCTCCATGCTTGATACAACTAGATTTTTTATTCATAATTTAATAAAACGGATGAATAAACAAACAATTGCTTGTTTAAAGTTGAACTACATATAATTCCCTTCCCCGGTATTAAAAATCTTGTGTAATTAGCATGTTATTTATTATTTATCGACACTTTCTTCGTGCATGTTCGAATTTCCTCTGTCCTGTAAACAAACTTTTGTGCCTCAGAAATGACGAAAATAAAGACGAAAACATTTTTATTATTTTTTTTAAATTGAAAACAGAGGTGTAGACAATTTATTTTTGTATGTTTATGATTTTTAAAAAATATATTTATTTTTTAAATAAGAAGAGTTATCGTTCTTCTGCTTTCGAGCGTTGCATTTAGGGAAGGAAAACCCTCGTTTGAGGGTATACCCTCGTTTGAGGGTTCGACTAGACTGGTTAAAGTAAGCCGATAGCGATATTATTTTGATGATCTCTGCCTTAAACGATGCTAAGTTTGCTAAAAAAATAAATAATTATACAGTATAACTTGTGAACGTTTCATTATCGATGATGCCATAAACAGTGAATTTATTGAAGAATTCATTTTACGTACTATCTGCAATATATCACGACGATCGACCCAGCATTTTTTGTTCACAGACGTGCAGATTTACAAGCATACACATGTACTTGTCTTTATTTCATAACTGCACATTTTGTTTTAGCGAAATTATACATAAAAAAATTACTTGAAGTATTTTTAAATTTAGAAATATAATTTTATATACATGTTCATGTAATAATAAGAATAGAAACGCTAAATGGTATTTCTAAGAACGGTAACTCTACTTCTTGTTTCCTAAAAATGGGAAATTCAATTCATCGCCAAATTCGTTATACCGCCATGATTTCTAAATTACAAAAGGTGGCGGTTTATCGAGAATTAACTGTAATTGCTTTTGACCAGTTATACATAAATAAAGAAATGTATTGAGATCATTTGGTTACATATAAATGTGTTAACAAGCTGGAATGAATTTATGAGACTATATGTATTCATGCAAATATTTACCAGTATAAGGCTATTTTGACACTTTTTAAAATGATATTTATGAAATTTTATTTAGTGTTTTATAGCAAAAACAATGTACAGATGAGTTAACCTTTTTGACAGATACTTGTTTTCCTCCCCGGGTGATTTGAGCGATGTCTGGGGTAAATGTCAGTCTGTTTTCTTCCTTCCCATCAACATCTTCTGGCTGTAAATACAGAGAAGTGTATCAGATTTAGTACCTATAGAAAAATACATAAATATGTATTCTCAAAATACATGCAAGCAATAAAAACATAGAATACTACATTAGGACAGCATCAAACCCAAAAATGAATGGATTATATTTATACAAGGATAATTGGGTGAAAAATTAGTACATTTGTATATCAAGAAATACCTAATACTATTTCAATTGCTCTCCCAATAGGGGTACAGAGCAAAGACCTCATCCAAAAGTAGCCACAGAGGGACTTCTAATGGAAATTTACCCGTAACTCATTTAAATAGGTACGTCAGATATGTCACCCCAAATAATGTCAGGGTGACATATTGCAATTGCCTCACGGTCTTTCACCTATAATTTTTCTGAGAGCTGTTCTTACAGATGACTTAGAGATTCCAGCTGAAACTTTACAGAAATGTTATCAGCAGGTCTAGTCTTACTTGCTAAGTAAAAGGCCCATAAGATAGTTGGATAAACAGATGGACTTGAAAACAACAGCTGATCAGAAAAGTCACAAGCTTTTAGCCAAAAAGAGATAAAACAATATTTGAGGATGGATAGAATGAAAAACAGTAAAACATACAGACAAAGTTGACATCATAAGACACCACTAAATCCTTAAAGGATTCTAAAATTTAGCATATCATTATTATTAGAATAACTTGCATTGTAATACATATGAAAGTTTACCATATCATTAATTTTATTCTTCTTGTCAGCCAGAGCCTCCTTAAAAGGAGTGGGAGTCCTGGGGGTGGCATTCAGCAGGGTCCTCCTAATCCTGGGGGTACACTGGGCCGACCTGTAACAAGGTCAAGGTCAAACACTTTAATAGGACTTAAAATTAACCACTATTGTATGTACCATACAAAATAATGCTGGCATTCTAACAAATAAATACTTTGACCATGTACAACCATAAGTTATAACATACTTGGGTTGACTTGTTTTGGTTGCACTGCTCTGCAGTGGACAGGTAGGTGTGGCTGCCTCTCGCTGACTGCACACTGGAGTGGAAGTCACTCTACCCATAGGAATCCCAGGACTGTTCAGGAACTGCAATACAGGTTTATATACATGTACAGTAGTACAGAGCTTTTCCAGTCTGATTGTAAACTTTAGTTTACTATATATGGCAAGACTCATTTTAGACAAGAATCATGGTTGCAAGTATATGGTTGGCAGGGTTCGACACTAACGGTAGACCGGCGGCCCGAGTCCACCAAAAAATTGGAAGGTCCACCAAATGTTCAGGACTAGGAGGACCGTCGGTCCACTTAAAATTTAAACACCATATTTAAAGACAGTGAAATTCCAGGGTTTCTTTTTCTTTAAATCGAAATTCGTAACTCAAATTATTAATTCCTCCATGCCTTTATTATAAAAGAATTAAATATACATGTAAAAAATGTTTAGGTAATGAGGTGGGGGGGGGGGGGGGAATAACTCGATATATTTTACATGTAAAATTGATAACTCAAATATTAACAATAATATTGAGACGCAAGAACATTCAACACGGACCTTGAATAAGCATGAAAAATCCGTGTCAAATTTAGCCAGTCTCTCCTCTGTTTACGTAATGCACAGAAAGGTGTGAAAATTACATTGGGTAACAGGAAATCGCTTCACGCCTGAACGCACACTGTTGGAGATAATTAGAATTGATTGACAGCTGCACTTAAGCATTGTTTTTTAAATAGATGTTCAAATAGGCGTAATTTACATTAAATGAACTATTATCTGCAGTTTCATTTTCTTTTCTTGATATACATATTATATCACTACTTATTTGAATAAATAATAAATTTAAAAGATAATTGATTAATACAGATACATGTACCTATGTCAGTTTTGCACCGTAGTAAAAAAAATGATCTAGCCATGGATACATGAAAAATTCACTTGTTTAATAATTGAACAAATTAATTAATAATTGGAGTTTTAAATTTAATCTACCTGTGGAAGTGAAATAAATGCAGGTTTTCACCATTGTAACTTAATGATAATTATTAAAAATATTTCTTTGGTTTATAGATTGATAGTTTTTTAAAATTTTTTTACAATATTTCTGAAAATATCTGACTAGTCCTTAATATTGATTTGATTCTGTTGACTGGTTAGATTTATGCTTTATTGGTCTGTCTGGTATCGGTATATATTAAAGTTAGTTTTAATT